TGTTGGTTTCTGGAGCCAGTTGGCTGAGACAGGTTTTGCCCACTCTTTTATGATGAGGAAGTTAGTATTGTCGTGACCAGGTCTGGGGGAATATGTGAATGGGTGAGGTAAGCCAACGCGTGACTTTTATAATTTCGTTAACTGTTGAGTAGCAGGGTGCATGCTCAAGGAAAAGGATATAACAGTTCCATGCACTGTGGGCGAATCAGCCCTTATTCAACATGTGACATTGTAACTACACAGCTTTGGGACCCGTGTTGGCTTTATTTAACCTGTTTTCACTTTCTCTACACTGTAGTGTCATCTTTGGAAGTTTGTGTTTTTAAGTCTAGCTCTCCAAATGTTCTAACGGCCATATGCTTGTGTCTTCTAACGGGTAACTTGGGAGATCCTGCAAGCCATGATGCTTTACTTCACCTTTCTAACTTTGTTCTACTCAGAAGGCTGTGGGTTGCTCACAGGAGTAAAGATAAAAATCTGTGTAAATGTTTTCACTCTTGGCACCTAAGGTAGATGTCCAAACTTTGAAACATAACAAAAATGCAACATTTGGTTGGTTTATCTATATACTGTTCATGGTAAATTTCAGCAATTTTGCCTTAGTGCTCTCACATTTGCAGAATTATTGTGGATATACTAAGAAACATTTTTTTAAGGGTGATCACTGGCCTTTATGGAAAGAGTTGCTAAGAATGCTCCAAGGCAAGTTTTCATATTCACCTAAATCTTTTATTCCTGGCACCTAATGATAGACATTTCAGTTGAGATTAAAGGCAAATTTCAAAGGAGATGTAGCTTTCCTTTCATAAAATACGTAACAGCTGTCTGCCTTGTTCATTTAAACTGCAAAATAACGGTTGTAGGCTGAGTGTAGAAATCGCCAAAAGATGCAAAAGTGCTTAAGATTTTTAGCTAAACATCCTAATTCACTCTTACTTTGATAATAATTACATAAATTCAGGTAGGACTTTGAGTCATTAGATTGCAAAATATTTTTCTTTGTTCGCGTGCTGCATATGCAGAATATACCTTGCCCCAAAATTCTGTTTCATTGTTACACTATTGCACAAATTTTCTCTTTTGCCATTACTTAGTACCTTAGTGTTAAATACGGAGGAGTAGAAGGAGCAGAGGAAGGGAAGTTTATCTTCCAGAGATCTCCTCTGTCTGAGGTGCCTCTCAGGTTGTTGATACCCTTTGTTCTGTAAGAGTAGTTGTCTTCAGTAAAGCACCTGAGCTAAAGCTTTTTGTTAAGATTATATTTTCCTGAGTGGGTTTTGTGTGGGGTGTTGTGGTTGTTTTTTTTTTTTTCTTCCCTATTTTATCCTGGTATTGGTAACCAAGCAGACAAATAAACTAAAATGCTAACTTTGGTTATGACAATAATGAAGAATACATTGGCTGTGCACTTCTGGAACATTAAAAAAAAAAAGAAGAAAAATGCGATAGTTCTAACGTGAACTAGAAAGTAATTGCTCACTTTCTGAAGTATTTCATGTTTCAAACAAATTGCAAAATACAGTAAATAAAATCATATGCGTTTGTTTGCAAAAAGTTATCTGACAAGTTGGAAACCAGCAGTTTGGATGTCTGTTTCATCCTTTGGAAATGCATATTACCTCATGCAGAACTGGAGTTTTCTCCTTACTACGTCTGCTGTCCTCTTCCTCCTCCTGATATCTCCAAAGCAGGGTTAAGTTCAGTATCTTTCTAATAGCTTTTTGTACTATTGTTTTTCCTCGGTTGTGTATCCGTGTGATCAAAGAGTTGCTAGTGAAAGTGTGTTTGGTAATTGACTTTTAAATTCTGGTGGTTACTGAGAAACCTCAAAAGATAAAGCCAGCACTTCAAGAGTTAATGTGTTATTAGGAGGACAGGAAATCTGGCAACTATTGCAGAAACTAGACCTAATGGTGCACACAAACAATTTGTCAGTCTTGGTAAATGTGAATAGCTTTCCGCAAAGTGGCTGCTTTTGCTTTGTTTGAACAGCCTAAACTTTTCCTTTTTGGACTTTAAATCTTAGAAGTGAAACGTGATCCACATATTGAATCAAAATAATTTAATTCAAAACATATTTTGATTGGAACAAGGTTGACATGGAAAGAAACTCTAGAATTAAAAAAAAAAAAAGTTGAAAGGACTTTCTATCATATATTTAGCAGGAAAATTCAAAACAGTTCTAATTAGGCTGAAAAAAACAGCCTTCTTCATTGTAACTTACAAAGGTCATATATCAATGTTAAGGCAGCATTACCAACTTGTGTCTGAAAGCCTGCACATGCAAACATAGTTCCAGTTGTTTGGTTTCGTTGGGTTGAGTTTTGTTTTTTTAAAATGTTCATGCACATACTTCCAAGCCTGAATACGTAGGTAGTTTAAAGTAGTTGCCAGGTACTGCGGTTATATGGGTGCTTTGTCGTCTTCAAGAAGAGTGTTTTTTACATCAAAATTGTCTTTGTGCTAAAAATGTGTGAAATCCCCATTCATGCTTTTCTGTTAATACTTAAATATTTTTCAAATGGAACATAAAAGAGAGACTTAATTATTACAAGTCGTTCAGAGGAAATTCCTTCCTTCAAAGAGAAATTAAAATATTTAGCCCATTAAAGGTAATAGGCAATTATTTGTATTTGAATTTTGTAATTTTTTACTTGCCGATGCAGTATATTCCTTGGGATTTTGGTGTGGGTTTTTTTCTTTTTTAATTGATCAAATAAGAAAGATTATTCATCTGTGAGAAGCAGTTTTGATTTCACATCCAAGTTTCCACTCGCATTTTAACTCTGTGAACCACATTTTGTCTAGATGGGACTTGTTTTCTGTCTTTCGAATAGGAGTTGCGCTTTATGCTGTGCTTCAAGATTGCTTTGCTTTAAACAGCATAGGAATAAGGCAAGCAAGTCTGTGGAGTGTTTTCAAATAGCTTGATTATGAATAAATATCTGTGCTGGTGAAAATAATTAAATTAATCTTTTCACCTAATTTCGGCATTGGAACAGCCCAATCAGAAGCACAGTATATACTCTTTTAATAGACATAATTCCACATGCTATATGCTATTATCTTAACCAGAATGAGAAGTAGAGGGCAAAGGCAAATAGTAGTCACTTTAAAGGTAGAAATCTTACTTCCATGTGTATAATATTGTTTGGGAAAATGGATCGTAAAAAGTGGTTAGAGTATTTGTACTGGGAAAAGGAAAAATATTTTCTAACCTGCTATTTTTATGTTTTTGTCTTTCTGACCATGTTTTACCAAATCATTAGTATCAGTATTAGACTGATTCTAGTCTTTGGTTGCTAGCAGGAAATTATACTCCATTCATTCCTCTCAGAAAACAGGGCAGAAAAAGATGTGTATAAAATAATGAATTTCAGGGTCATTCATGAAGAAGTAGTTTGACTGCACGTATTTTGTGACATCAGATCGTGCATTTGAAAAATATCTATCAATAAACCACAATTTCCTTGTAAGATCAGAGCTTCAATTTGTTGATGTGTCTAAAGTGTTTCTACCTTGGGAATGGAGAAATGAAAGTTACTAATAGGTGTTTGTGTTTAACATCTGTATACTGTACTTTTTAGCATATCTCAAGTGTTTTAGTCTCTGCCTAATAGATCTCATTAAAGAAACAGATATCAGCCCCAAGACAGTTTGTCAAAGTTAATATGGGTCCCTGTGGACAGAATTGACAATTTGTGTGTGGCTTCACATGACGGTCTTTTCACCGTCCTGTTTGATCCTTTAACAATTGGGCATTAGTCACTGATTTATTTTTCAATAAGTCAATAGGATTGAATATTAGTGTATTAATGCTGGACGTGTTAGAGGATTTTCTTGTTTTGCACGTTTTCCTGAGAGCACACAGTAAAGGATGTACTTGGTCTGCTGTGGGAGCGCTAACAATTGATTGGTTTGCTTTAGGAGCAGCATGGGAAGGATGTTAGTATCCCATTGCTGCGCGCCGTATTTAACTTGAGCCTTAATGAGCACAGGCTGTCCTACATGCTTAAGTAATCCTAAATGCTTAGCATTGGATACCCTTGGTTCAGTTTTGCAAGAAATAAATGCTCACAGTAACGTTTTTCTTTTTAAAAAAAGGCCCTTTTAAAACTGGATAGTTATGCAAATTGTAAATTTTTTTTTTTTTTTAAAGGAGTACCTGTACTTACATAGTATATAACATTGTGGCTATAAAGTGCATCAGACGTACTAGCACATTGTGTTGTTTTCCTTGAAAGCCTACTTTATTTTCTAATCATTAGACAGGCTGTTAACCTACTGTTCCTCGACTGATTGTGTCATAGCATACGCGCTTCCCTCCAGCCAAGAGCTTAACTGTGAACCTGAAAGGACAGGCAAGCTTCTTTAGCCTTTGAATTTGTGTGCTATGTTTGGTCTGCCCTGCAAGGTCCTGGGTATTGATGCTGACGGTAGTAATTTTTTGTTTAGCCCTTTTAATTGTGATTTTGCAAATAAGCAAGAAGATTTAAAAAGGTATAATGTGGAAAAAACTAAAAGAAAATGATCTACTTTTGAATCTGTATAAATCACAAGTGTAAAGTAATTTTAAAGTAGAAAAGATAAATAAATTCAGGATGGCTCCCAACCATTCCATGAAAAGGCAAAGAGTGTGTTTTAGTTGCTTTTTTAACAAAAGGTCAGGTTTATCTATCTGCTAATCTGAGGAGATTGCAGTGTGATCGTTAGTTATTCATGTCCAAATGCTTTGTGAGGGCAGTATGGCCCATTACAAATCTAGCTTTTGAAGAAAAGGAAAATATGAATAACTTCTGCACATACTACATATATATACACATATATCTATAAAAATCACCAGTTTCTTATGCTATTTTTCCTGACATTAAATAGTTATAATGATAACAGTAAGTATATTCTAGGGTTAAATTTTTTTTAGCAGGATAGCAAGAAAATTATTTCCTATCATTGTCATTTGCTGAGCCCTGTAGAATTTTATGGCTGCACATTGTAGTGTTATGGACACTCATGAGACTCCTGACTGGTTTTATCTTATTAAACAATTTTGAAATCATTAATTTTTAATTGGCCTGCTTGTGGTTTTTTATAGTTTTAATTGTGTGTCGGTGTCTAAATGTGGGGGTTTTTTGTTTATTTTTTAATTTAAATTTAATTTAATTAAAAAAAAAAGGGAAAAAGTAAGAAAGAAAAAATCCTGTCTAATCATATATGTTGTAAACTATTTCCATATGGTCATCCAAAGAGATACTATACTGTGTGATAATTCACTTTAAAGAACGCTTTCAGTAGGTTCAGTAGCTGGGAATCCTAACAGAAATGATAATAAAAAAAAAAGAATGATATGATGTCGAAGATATGTACAGGTCTTTTCTTGATTGAAAGTTCTAATTAAGTGAATCGAGGAAAATTAACTGAAATTAGCTGTCAGAAAGTCACATTTAAATGAGTGATGATCTGGTGTGGCAGTAAACATTTAAATGATATAAATTGCCATTTAAGTGTATGGTTTAATGTTTGTCATGCATTAATATGACATGAGACTGCAGTGACAATCAAGCAGCTTGCTCTAATTTGAACATATTTAGGGCTTTTGTGTGGAGTGCACCACACAAATTAAGACAATTGCTGTTTTTATGTGTCAATTTAAATGTTGTTTTCAGGCATCAGTTAATGAAACAAACCCATCATTTTCGTGTGCAAACTGCAGAGTGATTTCCTCGGTTTTCAGATTTATTTTAACTTCCTCTGCTCAAAATTAGGGATTTCCTTTACAAGGAAAATGCCATGCATTTCATTAGATGAAGAGAATATCAGGCCGTTACGTTGTTACATTTTCTCGTTCAGAGAAGAAATATAATGAATCCTCTGTATAAAACAGAGAAAGCAGATTCTGGTAGTGATTTAATCTAGATGGATTAATGCTTTAGATGACAGTGATTTTTACGTCATCTTTTAATATATTTGTGCTGTATCTAAGACCATTATGGAGAGATTCATTATTGTTTGGATGCTTTTGTCTTGGGGATTGGGTTGTACCTGAATAACAACTTCATAAAAGTGGCATAATCATTCACCATAGTACTGTTTCTTTATAGGTTTGTATAAGAGAGATATGCAAGAAATGCATAAAAGTAATAGCAGGTTGATATTCCAGCACGTTAAATAATTTGTACCCTAACATCCCTAGTTAGTTCAGTTTCCTCAGGTCTATCAATCTTCTGTCTGTCTGTAAGAATCAGATTATCGTGCTGTTATTATTCACTGTGCAGGTCACACAAAAAAGCACAATTTCAACTTGAGCGCTCACAAAAACATAGCCTGGCATGTCCATAAATGCATAAAAGCTTTCTACTTACTGCTTTTTTTCATGTTCCCACTGTTACAGTTTAAAAAGCAAGGACTTCTGGTCAGTGGGGAGTAGGGCAGAAGATTGGCGTCTGTCACACGGCACACCCTTTTTGGGATAGAATGGCTAAAACACTGTTATCAATTCTGTATGTGGACTTGTTAAGGTAGTTTTGTATGCTGTTAAAGAAATGCTTATGCTACTACTGACTGATGACTATCTGGCAAACCCAGTTTTATGTATTTTTTGTGTGTTTTTTTCACAGGCGTTAGAAAGCGAGTTTGTCTCCTGCCAGCTTCACCAGTGGATTGATCTGATTTTTGGCTACAAGCAGCAAGGGCCAGAGGCTGTTAGGTCCCTGAATGTATTCTACTATTTGACTTACGAAGGAGCTGTTAATTTAAGTTCAATAACGGATTCCGTATTGAGAGAGGTAAGTTTGTACTTTAGATATAGGAAAGGAAAATCTTTGTTAACCACTGCAGTGCTGAAAGCATAAAGACTCCATGGTGTTCAAGGCTGCCAGTGAATGTTCAGGTCTTTGTATTCTGCTGTGGTTTGGCTACAGGCCAGTCAAATGCAAGGTTCCTCAACCAGTTGTCACAGCATGCAAAATAAAGAGACCAAGCATGTGAGTTGTTCTTAAACTTTGTGCACCTGGATTCAGCACAAACTGGATGCCAGCATAAAAATAAGCGTTCAAGGATTTCTTCAGTTCCTGAGGGCTGTCATTCTGTTCACTAATACTGGATCTTAATGGCAGAAGACAGTAAGCAACCTTGATTTGGCTTGCACTTTTGAATTTACTGTAAACAGTTGTAACAATTCTCTTTTAAGGCAATCCTGCATATGTAATACGCATTGAACACCATAGTTTTGTAGCTTCCATTATTTTTATTTGGCTTGCTGTCAAATTAAAAATAACGTGTCCTGCATTTTTCATATGCAAAAGTAAATGTTTAAACATTGGAAAGATCAATTGTCTCACTCAGACTCTGCACCATTCAGAAAAATTTATTTGCTAAAGTATCCCTTAGGATATTGTGGGCTTAGAGATGCGTCCCTCTAAACAACTGTTTAAAACCCCCCAAAAACAGAAGGAGCAGGGTGAGGTGGGTGGTTAAACCAGGTTTTTTGATCAGTTTTGCATTTGCTGTTCAGACAATACATCAGTATCAAGTATAGCTGCAAGTACATTAATTATAGCATAAATGTAACTGGTGCTTTGTTATAAAATGTCCCGAGTTTGTGAGAAAAAGTAATACGAATGCTATCAACAGTTTTATTTAAAAGGGTGGCTAGATGTATACCAACAGGGAATATATGTGTGAAATGAATGAAAACAAGAATCAAGACATTTCTGCTTAAAAATACTAGTTTTGAAGTTCACTGTAGAATTCTAGACTAATCTGAATTGTTGCTTTTGTTATTTATTACTTATTGAAAGATCTGAGAAGTAAGCAGTTATTATTTTGAATGGAGCTATTTTCTCTCTGCGTACTGGCCATCTGCCTGTTTGGGGCAACTTGACAGCCTCTGTAGAGAAAGCCACGTCATAGCAGCACTGTGGGTTGTAGCTACCTTGTGGGTGCAGTGGAAAGGTTTGGGGGGTGTGCAGGGCATGAAAGGGTGCACAAGGACTGGCTGAAGTACCAAAAGTGGTGGCTGGATGTCATCATTACGTTGGTTGCCGTCAGTCTGCAGGCTGCATCTTGGTCCACTTTGAGGTGAAATACAGCTCTTGCAAATAAATACATTTAATTGAGCTAAGAGATACTGGAACACTCAGCTTTTAAGAAAAAATGCCATATCTGGGTTTGAAAGAGTTATTGACCCAAGGTATTAAATGTTCACCCTGTCATGTTTTCATTTCATTGATAATGCCTGTCCACTGTCCACTGACAAGGAAATACTCTCACCTTCTAAGAGTATTTACTACACTCTTGAAGTGCTAGGTTTAAGTGTGAGCTGAGAGAGAGACTGGGCATTGGGTGTCATTCATACTTAATTTTGGTGTTAAATGAACCATCGTTCATGTTGTTCTATGCTGCCTGAACTGAGTGGCATACAAAATGAAAACGGGAGTGGGAGAATAGCAGCGTTGTTGAGTTCGTATTAAAGGAGTAGCTTAACAGCAGCAGAATTTCAAAACACTACCAAAGGTGTCAAAAACACATGCTGATGCCTGCAGGCAGCAGAATGAACGGTATCTCCCAGCACTTTTGTTCCAAGTTACTTGAGGATTAGTTCAATATAATATTTTTATTTAGTCTTCTTAAGCAGGTCAGTAAAACACTAAAAAGCTTCCTGTTTAGTTCGGTATCTCTTGCTATTTGCATGTATTTTGTAAAGCATTTTTTAAATTATGTAAATGTGTATATGTAATTTGCAATGGCACGTACGATCAGCTCTGATACAATATTGACAGGGCAGAGATTTAATGACTATCACCACCAGAGGTGAGTTATTCTGGTTTTGCTCATGAGTAGAGATGAAAGTAATAAAAAATCTGTTTGTGTGTATATCTATGTGCATAATCATTCTATATCTATGTGCTAAATGAATTTATCATGCACCTTTGACAGCCTCACCTTCTTCCTGCTTACTAATCCATCTCCCTGAGGACCTGCGCTAACGTTCTGTACTGCCAAGCAGCTTCAATCAGCATTTATTTTTCTCCTTCAGTCAGCTTGCCAGAAAATATTTCTTCTTTTCCCCACCAGATTCCTGGTTAGAGGCCAAATTAATTTCTGATCTGGACAATTAACAGTATTTTTAGTCAGGCATGACACCTGAGATTTAGTATCTGTTTATTAGACAACAATTAAACCAGAAATTTTACTCTGGCTTTCTTGGTTTAAAAAAGGATGCTTTTGACTTTCTCCTCTCGATAAGGTTCAGGGTTTGGGTCTTTAAATCTTGACAATTGTAGCAGAAAATATATTTTTGTTCGCAAACCTAAAAGAAAGAGAAGCTTTTGTCTACTCTGAGAGTTGCAAGTTACTGAGGCTTTTAAGTGTCATATGGAAATAATAGCATGTGCTTAAATCATGGCATTTTCTCCACATAAATAGTCTATGCTAAGCCTGGACCACATCAGTAATGAGAAGCCTATGATGCATGTGTTTCTAAAGTGTCTTCACAGATACATGTATGGATATTGGTGACCTAACTCATCAGGAGAGGCCACACACAGAATAATAGTGGAAGGAACTAAGGAGTGGAGGAGTTTAGGTTAATGCAGAATTTCCTTAGGTCTCCTAAATGGCTCCAACTGGCACCTTTATTTTTATAGGCAGTCAGGTTATATATATTACAAGAAGGAAGCACTCGTCTAGGAAGGAAAACTACTTGATTAAAACCATATTCCACCTTTCTTTTTTTTTTTTTTAACTGAAAATGTAGAACTTTTACATCCTCTCATACTGCTGTGAACAATTTTTTCCTGCCATTCTTTCTGCCTATGGGAATAAAGGAAGTAAAGTATTTTGAAAGGATCTGACTGCTATAATAGAAGATTTTAAACTAAAATGCAAACCATGGGCCACATGCTACCTTTTGGCAGATAAACCCTGGGGAGTGCAAAGCTTGCATAATTCAAAGGCAAGTCTCAGGGGGAGGGGAGTAGATCAAGAGAAAAGGGTTTGAGTCGCAGCCAGTGGGGGAAGGGAACTGCAACCAGGAGAAACAAGGCAAGAGATCCAGTATATCTGCTGGCATATCTGTGCACTACTTGTCCCTGCAGAGACCATTCCTTCGTCATCTTCTTTCACCTTTGAGCCATTTTAGCAGCGCTGTCATTGGCTATGGTCCTTGTACTTGCGTATCTTGCTGAAGGAGGTTGGAACTGCTGAGGGCTGTTGCCTTTCAGTTGACAAGCAGTAAATACCACACTGCTTTCCGGTGGAAAACACGGTATTTGCCTGCAGAGATATGCTGTATGACTACCTTCTGTTGGCTCGTTCTAGAACACCACATTTTGATCCATGGGATTCCCAATTACATGATCTGCTGTGGAAGGGCTTTTTTTGTTGCCTGTATGGAAGAGGCCAAGAGTCACAGTAACACAGATAAATGTCATCCAGCTGTTCTGGAGAGAATTCACAGCACCTTCTTATCACAAATTCTGCTCTCTTTTTGCAATAGCTGTCCAAGAATGGGGGGGTGGTGTGTGTGTGTGTGTAAAAGTAGTATAATTAGATCTAAGCCATTCAGACAAGCAACTGATTAAGAGGTGAAGCACAATCCATAGAAAATAAATTGTATTTTGGACTGCTTTTTAGGTATCCCATTAGCATCTTGGTCAGAAGAATAGAAATTCTTCTTGTCTCTGGCATAGTATAACAAAGGGTGATTGTGAATGTGGACTGCATGTCCATATGCAGTCATGTTCCTAATTAAAAGTCCATTTCTCCAGTGATACCCCTCTGCAGCCAGCATAAACACTGGATAAGCGTACAGCAAAGAGATGAACCTAATAACAGGAAGGCAAAATATTCCTTGGAGAATATGTCACTGATTTACTACAGGAACCCCTGAACCTCAGGAAGCATATTATATTTTGTACCATGCTTATCAAAAAGCACCTAACAATATTCTTCAAATTTTAAAAATATCATCTGGTATGATCTTTGTAGGCAGTAATCAAGGAAGACTGATGATTTTAAAAATAGCAATAATAGTGCAAAAAGGATGAGAATAAGTCCCATCCAATTAATACCCCACACTTTTCTTAGGTGATTTGCTTTTAGCCTTAGATGATTCAGTTGCTTTATACTTCCACCTTGAAGAGAAGGTGCCTTATTGTTGCATGAAGGTAGTCTGTTTAACATTAGGAAGCACAGCTTTCTCCATTCTATCGGCACCTTTCTTTCTACTGTTGATGTTTTATTTCCATATGAACTGAGGAGTTTCAGAAATTTTGAAGAATCAGCTTGGACATAGCATTTGGTATGTTATTTGAACATGCCACTTCTGATTATATAAAGAGAGGAAATAATTCTTTTATTTTCGGTTTTAAGGCATGTGGGATAAATTATTTTATGGATAATAGCTTTTAAATGTTGCCTGAGATTAATATCTTTGGGTAAGTTTTATGCATCTTAGACCTATCTCTTATGAGTCTAATTTTACTTTTAAATATTTACAGTTTGAGAGACTTCTGTGCTTTGCAAAAGAAGCTACGAGAATGTTTAGTTTACATGACCCCAGTTTCATAACAGCAGTAGCAGATCTGCTATCTTATCCCAGAAAAAGCATTTTTGGCCTCTTTTAGCTGTGTTCATGGTGGGAGTTAATAGCATATTTCAGCTCTAACTCAGCTGGAGAACTCTGACAACAGTGAATCTTTCACAAAGTATAAACACGAGTTGTATTTATAGCATAGTTAACATTTACTAAATAGTTGGGAAAACGATTAGTCTGTTTTTACCA